GTGTTTTTGGGAGATGGTGCCTTTCCACTAGATGAACACCTCATGAAGCCATTTGAACCAGATGCCAGAGACGAGTTGCCTGGTAACCACGCCCTCTTCAACTACAGACTGTCCAGGGCAAGGAGAGTTGTAGAGAACGCCTTTGGAATCCTCAGTGCAAGATTCAGGATCCTACGTCGAACTGCCATTGTCAGTGAGACACTAGGCTGTAACATTATTTTGTCTACTTGTGCCCTCCACAACCTTCACCTCATGAGGGAAGACAGCATTCCACCCAAGCAGCGTGTCTACCTTCCTCCTGGTTTCTCAGACACCTACAAGTCTAATGGAAGACTGAAGCAAGGCAGATGGAGGAAACTAGTACCCTCTTTGGAAAAGACAATTTTCCGTAATCTTGTGCAACAAGAAATCCCTGGTGCTGCCAGGAATTCCAACCCACTCTATCCCACTCTCGTGAGGGAGGATTTTGTGGAGCTTGTCCTTGCCCAGCCAGTTCCTTGGCAGTGGGGTGAACCATTGTAGTAACCTATTTTTCTATGCTCCATGTTTCTGTAATTTTAAGAATGTGATGTTTGTAATTGTGAGTAGACAAAGGAATGACTGAAGCAGCATGGCTGTGTGCATAGTTGACCATTACTTGATAATTTAATTGATGTACGTTGTTTGTATTTGTTTTGCTATGAAATGTCTGGCCACGATAGTGATATTTTAAATGTGGCATTGGGGTGTAATACATCCTACTATCCCCCATGTTTTTGTAATTTTAACAATGTGATGTTTGTAATTGTGAGTAGAGAAACCAATGACTGAAGCAGCATGGCTGTGTGCATAGTTCACCATTACTTGAAAATTTTTTTGTATGTGTTTTGCAATTATATGTCTGGTCACTAAAGTGAGATTGAAACTGTGATAGGAATAAAATGCTTCGAATGAAGCTATTTAAAATCTCTATCTGACTTCTTCAAACCTTTTCTTATTTTCAACAACAGCTGTATACAGAACATAGATAAAATAAACCTCAAGGCATAACTTTGGAAACATTCCATAAAGTTTAAGCAATTAAAGAAAAGCAACTTAAGAACATCCTTTATATATTTTATTTACATTATTACAATTGTGTTAGTGCCATAGTTTAGCTTCCACAAATCACACACTACTCCGGAAATCGCACTTCCCATTCGTCGTTCAGAAGTTTTCCAATCTTGAGCATGGCATTGCCGGCATTTCGTGGCGGTATTTGGCGCAGCACATAAGCCACCATCAAAGCGAAGTGGTGGAACCCATCCGGTTCTGGTGGCTGCTGGCTCCTTGCCATGAGATACTGGCCCAGCAGCGCCGTCTCGGGGTTCACTTCCGGGTCATCCGCGCGCTCCTCGCGGTGTCTGTTTCCCTGCTGGTTCGCCTGGAATGCTGCAACGTGGGCAGCTCGTACAGCGTCGTCCGCACGCCTCCTTTGCTCGTAGGCTTGTTGCCGTTGCTGAGCCACCTGTTGCTGACGGTCGCGGGCACCGCGGCCTGCTCCACCGCCCCGCGGAGCACCGCGTACGTTGTCGCCGGCGCCCTGCACTCCACCTCCGCGACCCCCGCCGCCTCGTGGAGCTACACCGCCCCTGCCGCCCTGGTGTCCACCACCTCGAACATTATTGCCACGGTTGCCAAAGCCTCCTCGGTTAGGCAGAGGACTTCCCCGGTTGACGAAGCCTCCCCGGTTAGGTACAGGACTTCCCCGGTTGACGAAACCTCCCCGGTTAGGCGGAGGACTTCCCCGGGTGACGAAGCCTCCCCGGCTAGGCAGATGACTTCCCCGGGTACCAATAAAGCCTCCCCGGTTGATTCGAGGACTTCCGTGGTTGGACATGCTGTCAAAGTTGAAGTTGGGGAGAAGTTCACCATCGTGCGGTACGTCGCGACCGAGGGCAAATAGGCCACCGCGGCTACGGTTTCCGATGTTCCGTCCAACTCTGCCAATTATAGTAGAGCGTGGCGTTTCACCGCCAGGCGTGTGCGAAGCGTCCAGAGTCTCGGTCACTTGACTCCCGCCAAAGCAGGAGGGTGTGCGGACGGGTCGACGAGACCGATTGCTGTGATGGCTGCCTGTAGCGGAAGGAGCAGTACTGCCGCCGCTGGAGCTGCCGACGGAGCCGACGACGGAGCCTGTTGGGTGGACCTCCTCGTCCTCAAGTCCCTCTTCAGTCACGCCACCACCGTCGCCACCGTCGTGTCCGCCACCACCGTCGGCCCCGTCGTGTCCGCCACCACCGTCG